TTCTATCTGCAGTCTTAACGCCTACAACTTTTAATATTTGTTTAAATTTTTTCATCATTCCCCCTATACCCGATATATAGAGAGGAACTTATAATATTTTACCAAAAAGTCAAGTTTTCTAACTATACTTGCTCTTTCAAACATGTTTATCATTGCAGGCAACAACCGAATATGAAAGTTATCCAAACCATTTACTTAACCTACTTAGAAAACTAATTTTCTTCTCTCTTTGTGAGTTTATAACGTTCTCTAAATCAGTATTTGTAAGATAAGTAATGATTGACTCACAGACATGTTCATTTAACACTTCCCAGGTCTCTTTCACTTGTCGATGTTCATCAAATGTACCAAAACATCCAAGTGGTTTGAGAGCTTTTTTCTCTAGATGTTTTCTCTCTATAATCTTATATTGATCCTCTATCATTGAAGTGTATATAGGATAAGCCTTTTTATATCGACCTTCTTTTAATTTTTCATACAACTTATCATTGTATGTGTAGCTTGCTAACTTAACCTTATCTGCTTGTAAAAATTCATAAAATGATATACCAGTGCTACCAATTGTCTGATTTCTCATCCTATACAGCTCATTTACTGCATCTTTCAAAAGCTGCTTTATACAACCTGCAGACAAGCCTATAGGAGCTTGACCACCTCTATTCCTTAACGAAATATCTGCACCTGCTGCTAATAAAACTTTTATTACATCTATGCAATTATACAAAACAGCATAATGTAAAGAAGTTCCATCGTGACCTATAGCATCAACCTCTGCACCTTTTTCTAATAAAGCCTTTACTAACTCTGCATTACCATGTTCAGCAGCTCGATGTAAAGCAGTATCTCCATATTTATCTACAACATTAACATTTATGCCTTCTATTGCTAATAGAATCTTTGCTACCCTTGAACGATCACTTCCAGCAGCCCAATGTAAAGCAGCACCTCCATGTCTACCATCTATTATATTAATATCTGCACCTGCTGCTAATAGAGCCTTTACTATCTCCACATAATCGTACGAAGCAGCTAGGTGTAAAGCAGTACCTCCATATCTATCTACAATATTAACATCTACACCTTTTACTGTTAATAGAGTCTTTAGTACTTCTAAATAACCACTCCTAGCAGCCCAATGTAAAGCAGTACCTCCATGTTCATTATCTACTATCTTAACATCTATATCTCTTGCTAATAGAACCCTTACTACATTTATATCATTATCTTCAACAGCCCAATGTAAAAGAGTTCTTCCATCAAAATCTGTAACATTAATATTTGCACCTTCTACTAATAAAGCATCGATTACATCCGTATAACCACATAAAACAGCCCAATATAAAGGAGTATTTCCATAATGATCTATAACATGGATATCCATGTCTTTTGCTGCCAACAGAATCTTTAGTACTCCTATATGACCACTTCCAGCAGCCCAATGTAAAGCAGTACCTCCATGTTCATTATCTACTATATTAACATCTATACCTCTCGCTAATAGCATCTTTGCCATTTCTATATCATTACCTTCAGCAGCCCAATGTAGAAGCGTTTTTCCATCAAAATCTGTAACATTAATATTTGCACCTGCTGCTAACAGAGCATCAATTACATCCATATCACCACATAAAGCAGCCCAATATAAAGGAGTTTTTCCACCGCAATCTATAACACAAACCTTAGCACCTTTTGCTAATAAAGCGTTTACTATGTTTACATAACCAAATAAAGCAGCATAATGTAAAGATGTTGCTCCACCTTGACTTTTAGCATTAGCATTTGAACCGTGCTTCAATAGAACTTTTACTACATTCGCATGGCCACTTTCAGTAGCGTAATGTAAAGGGGTTTTTCCATCTTCATCGTTAGCATTAACATCTGCACCACTTTTTAACAGAGCATCTACTATATCTACATAACCAAAAAAAGCAGCACAATGTAAAGGGGTTGCTCCAACTTGATTTGTAATATTAGCATTTGAACTGTTTTTTAATAGAGTGTTTACTATATTCACATTACCACTCTCAGCAGCACAATATAAAGGGCTTTTTTTATCTTCATCTTCAGCATCAACATCCGCACCTTTTGCTAATAGAGCATTTACCATATTTTCTAGATTACAGTGAGCAGCAATATGCAATAATGTGCATTTATAACACATAGCATGTCTAACTTGCAATAAAAACAAATGTTTGATATCAAATTTTTCTTCTTCCCACTCTTCATATATATATGGATGTTCTACTGCTAATTTCTCTTTTATTTTATCAATTACATTTAAATTTTGAGCAGAATTTACTTTANGACAGCCGATTTCTAGAAATATTAGGTGTTTTGACCACTTTTTTGTCTCATCTTGTGCAGCATATGTCGGTAATTTGTACATAGCGGTAAAAAGTAATTGACATCATGTAGATCAGTTATATATAAAGATAGCAATTCAAACAGGGGGTTAGGGTGTTTGCAGAGTTACAACAAGGGAATAGTTTATGTATTAATTGTTATAACCATCAGGCTGTAACTGTAAAAATAAACGACGAAGAAGGCATTGGCTTACCTTATACATCTTACGGTTTCGATCAGAATAGTCATTTTTTTATATCGAGTGTTAGACTTGCCCTCAAATACAGCATCCTAACTGAATTATCTCAAGGATTGCGATTAAAACTAGAAGATAATAACAAATTAGCTTTGGTTAATAATTTAGGTGAGTATTACTATGATTACTATGACAACAGTGAAAACATTTCCAAGATAAATACTTTACAATTTATACCTAAAAAATTAATAAGTCAGTGTCAAAATCAAGGTCAAGATCAAGATTGTATTAATTCCTACACTTATACTTACAAATACTCAACTGCTAACCTTGTACCTCTAATAGAAAGTAGGATCATATTAGACCCAAAAGATATAATGAGTAATAAAAATATAAGCCATGTCCTAAAAGAGCTTAAAGGTCCACCTAACAACACGCTTAAAATACTTGCTGGAAAAAATTTTTTAAAAGCACCAGAAGGATCTTTATTAAATACTTATAAAAACGCTGTTATAAAGACCCTTTTCGACGATAAAAAGATTGGAGTATTGAACAGTATTGCCGCTGTTTTTATGGATAATAGATTAACGTTATTCTCTAAAAATATCATCCTTAATCAAGTAGACCACTTCAATACTACTCTTGATTTTATAACAAGTACTCCTGCTTTAAAGATAGAAAAATTCAATGGAACTGATGTTGGATGTATATCCATCTGGTATAATCAGTGTCTAAAATTTTATGCTCTGACACCAAATGAACAATTTGGTATGGATGATAAAAATACCGATCAAAATTCTTTATACCCTTATTACTACCGCTTATATGATTTGAAAATTAGCTCAGGTTATAAAGAATTAGAACAAAAAATTAAAGACTTAGAAGAGAAAATTAAAATTTTACAGCTAAATGTAACATCAATCGCAGCAAAACCTGGACCTCAGGGTTCTCCTGGTGATAAAGGTGATAGAGGTATGCCAGGCCCTGCAGGCTTTAATGGTACACAAGGTCCAAAGGGAGAAGATGGAATAGGTGCTGAAGCTGCTAATCAGCTTGTAAATACAGTGAAGCAAGTAAAAGTTGAAATCAGCAATATTCAAAAAGTAGTAGAGGCTGATAAAAATGCTGCTGAAAATGCTACTAGAAAAGCTCAAAGCTCTGAGTCCCAGGTTACAAGACTACACAGACAAACAGAAATTCTTACACAAAAGGCTGAAGAGTCTAAGAATAAAGCAATGCAATCACAAATAAGTACAGAAGCTTTCAGTAATCAAGTAAAAGAGGTATTTTGTAAAACAAAACCCGAAGATCAATTTTGCATCGCACACAGAAGGAAAAGAGAAACGAAAATCTTTGACAGTCAGCTATTGACAAGTGGAGCAAATAGACCAACTTCATTTATATCTCAAGCAATAACTTTCTTTTCCCCTTTTATGCAGGGGGATAAATACAAACAAGTAATAACTTTCTTTTCCTCTTTTATAGGAGAAGATAAATACAAAATAGAAAATATAAGACAAGAGCTTACCCACACAGCAAAAATGAACTATGCATCTATAGGAGAAGATAAATACAAAATAAACAATACAATACAAAATCAGAACCAAACAACAAAAATGAACTATGCATCAGGTGTTGTGGAAAATTTTGAAGAGGTATTAGGAAACACTGCTTTACAATGCGGTATTTCAAGAAAGAGCTTAGAGTATAATCCAGTAACACTACACTCAACTATTGTTGATAAGTCATTTAATGATGATGAGCTGTTGAAATTCTTGTGTTTAACTGCAAAAAAATCATGTCCAGAATGCAAACAAATTAACAAATTTTTAGCTGCTTTTAAAGATAGCATGCAAAGAACATTAGCAAATGATGTGCAGTATCACAGAAGTTTTTCTAATATTGAGAAAATAGTAGATAATGAGCAGCCAAAAAGTTTCATGAGTGATATCACTTCTCTAAGAAACATAAGTGAAATTGGTCAGATGGTTGCTGGATATTTAAGGGGGTAAAAATACAAAAAGTATACATTTAAAATGTGTTTTTAATAGTGAGGAAAAAGTAGGCAATAAGCAACCTATGAGTGATATCACTTCTTTAAGGAACATAAGTGAAATTGGTCAGGTGGTTGCTGGATATTTAAGAGGGTGAAAATATGAAAAAATATACATTTAAAATAGATATTAATAACGCTTCGTCTTACGATAGACTGATAAAAAAACTTCCTACCGCGTATTATAGATTAGTAAGAAATGTAGGAGAAGAAGGGTACACTCTTCATTCACACAACAAGCCAGCATCAATAAGTAAGCTTGATCAGCTAACTTTGCAGTGGAATGATTTGAACAACAAAATGGTTTTATATTATAACGATTCAGCTCTGAAAGCAAATGATAATAATGATGAATTCATTATAACACAAGAAGATTTTATAGATAGCACTCACACTCAAGAGATTATTACAAAACTTAAATCAGAACCAGAAATAGGAAAGTTAGTTTCACTTTCTAATATACCAGACTCTGGTAGTTTTGGTATCGCGATTCCAGTTAATGATGACATATATAACACGCTAAATTTCATCAATTTCCATAATAAAACTGATCCAGTGTTACAAAGTATCACGAAAAGAACAGACGGACTTTATTTTACAATAGAAGATAGTAGTCAAAATTATTCTAGGAATGCTTATATATCAGATAAATCTGGAAATATTTTAAGAGGGTATGAGAACTCTCCATATCGATTTTCCTTATATCCTTATTACTACCGCTTACATGATCTGGAGATAAAAGAAGAATTAGAAAAAAAAATTCAAAGTTTAGAAGAAGAACTTAAGAATGTAAAAACAACTCCTGGTCCAGATGGTCCTCCAGGCACTAAAGGTGAAAAAGGTGAGCTAGGTAATAAAGGTGATTCAGGTAGTAGAGGTGAGAAAGGGAACCTAGGTGATACAGGCCCACGAGGTCCTATAGGTAATCCAGGTGAACAAGGTCCTAAAGGTTTTAATGGCACACAAGGTGAAACTGGTCCTAGAGGTGACGTTGGTTTGAGAGGTGAAAAAGGGGAACCAGGTAATAGAGGTGATGTTGGTTTTAGAGGTGAAGAAGGCTCTAAAGGTGCACCAGGAGAGAAAGGCCCGAAAGGAGAAGATGGAATAGGCGCTGCAGATGCTAATAAACTTATAAATGAAATGAGTAACACAAGCGTTGCAATCAGCAATATTCAAAAAGCAGTAGAGGCTGCTGAAAATGCTACTAAAAAAGCTCAAGAGCTTGCCCTCAAAGTCACAACATTATACAGACAAACAGAAATTTCCGCACAAAGGGTTGAAAGATCTAAGGATGTAGCAACACGATCACAAAGAATGATAGAGACTTTCAGTCATCAAGTAAAATATATGTTTTGTCAAACAAAACCTCAAGATCAAGTTTGTCTTGCACACAGAAGGAAAAGAGAAACAAAAATCTTTGACAGTCAGCCATTAACAAGTGGAGCGAATAGACCAACTTCATTTATATCTCAAGCAATAACTTTCTTCTCCTCTTTTATAGGAGAAGATAAATACAAAATAGAAAATATAAGACAAGAGCTTACCCACACAGCAAAAATGAACTATGCATCTATAGGAGAAGATAAATACAAAATAAA